ATTTCTTTCTATGAATTTATAATATTTGCCAAGAATTTCTGATTTTACCTATTGTAGAATAATTGGTTAGTAAATAATATTTTCGTAAACATCAATTGTAGCGAATCTATATAAACGTGCGCAATGGATGGCGCTTAGCCGATCACTAGTCAGCCGATCATTGACCACCAGACGATCATTGAACAACCGATCATTGTACAAGAGCTTCCTTTGTTTACATAGCATTTTTGAAGTAAAAGCAGAACCTTTGCATATATGCATAGTTTTTTGGATCATTTCTTTTGCAATTTTTAAGATCATTTTCTACGAACTCGCGAAAAGAATGTAAAAAAAAGGTTGCATAAACAGTTAGCTATAAATAAAAAGAAAAAAAAATAACCTAATCACGTATAGATCTCCCGTGATTGCCGTGATTATTGCCCAATCAAATTGAACTTATTTTGTACTCGTGTGAAGGGGGTATTTGAACATTATTAAGCCAGAATTTTCACGCGATAGTACTGTAATATTGAAATATACCCAAGACTTAATAAATTAATAAATATATACAAAAGGATTTATTACATATATTTAGAGGATAGATACGCGTAATGTGAAGTGAATTTCTATTTATTAATTATAAACCGAATTCATTAAAGAATTTACAATATCAATATATATATAAACTAAAATTTTACGATTGACAAATTGTAAGAACCAACCAAATTAAACATTAAATATAGATCATTTACTATTAAAAAGTTTGTAAATCTAACATATCAAATAGTCTTAGACGAAAATATTTCAGTTACTAGTCGGATACTACGCCTAAATACGTTTAAACACTTGTGATTGGTTCCTGCATCATACAATTTTTTTATTGGACGAATCGGTACTGAATCGGTACTATGTCAAAATTTCAAATTTGAAATGCTTGTGTCCACTATGCTGCAATATAACAACATAAACCGCAGCATATTATAACTATAATTTCGGAGTCTTTCTTTGACTATAGTGCTCAGTACTATTTGAATTCTATATATTTGTCTGAGGTGAGTGAAAAAAACGGCTATTTTTTAGTAGTTCTTTATTAACCTGTAACACTTAATTCATTTAATTATTGAAGGGCTTACATAAAACTTAGGTGCATTACAAAATTATTACTGACTTAAGAGCCAGAGAAAGTATATCAAAATGTCTGCAAGGGAATATGTGAGAATGGAAAAACTAGGAGAGGGCACATACGCCACTGTGTATAAAGGCAAAGAACGAAGGTCTGGTGAAACTGTAGCTTTAAAAGAAATTCATTTAGATTCAGAGGAAGGTGCTCCTTCGACGGCAATTCGGGAAATATCATTGATGAAAGAATTGAAGCACCCAAACATTGTGAAACTTAAGGATGTAATTCATACTGAAAATAAATTAATGC